ACTCTGCCTTGGACATAAAGGACCCTTACACGAACAATTTCAGGAAGTTAAAACAAGCCTTGACCTCCGCCTCGATCTTCAAATAAACAGATCCTGAATAACACTACACCCTAGTGACCGATGTCAGCGGCAACAACTTGCGATCATCAATTACAACCACTCATACAATCTTTTGAGTCTGGAAACATAGAGCAGTCTCGCCGACGGTTGTCCCGCGAATAATTTCTAGTGGGATGTATCCTGTACTGTTACGCCGCCGAAAACAATAACTAGGAGGTCCAATATGTCGTTCCCCGGGCTGTTGAAGACAAGCTGTTCGATGAATTCCATGGCACCCCGACTGCCGGTCATTATGCAATAGACCGTACCTTTCACAAAATCTGCCAACACTTTTAGTGGCCTAGACTCCTAAAGGACACCCGCAACTATATACGGAGATGTGGAACCTGCCAAAGTAGACAAGCAGAAGCCATCTGGTTTACTACAAACACCGATCGTGAGACAGCGCTTTGAAATCTTTGTAATTAACCTCTTTGGACTGCTACCGACCGGCCTAAACGGAGAGACTTGGAAGTTAGTTGTTGATGCCGATGTTTGGTCCTGTTTCCTCCTTTACAAGATCCCCTGGAGCATTTTTTCTGATAACGGAACCCAGTTCGTTGGCTCAGTAATGCAGAAGATTTGCTACTATCTGGATATTCAGCAGAAGTTCACCCCTGTTTCTCATCCATCAATATGGTTGTGGGGACCTGAATATCCAGTTGTCCAGCTTGATTTGAGCAAAACCACCAAAACTGGCCAAACAAGCAAAAAGTTCGCTCTCAGTACTGCCTGATATCAATGAACTGACTAATCAGCCGCATTCCTCACGTTTGGCCGCGAGCTTCGTACTATATGTGACTACCCAAACCAGTAAGGAAGACTGTCGCTGGACGAACTGCCGAATTCGTTCCTCAAAGAGATGGTCCTTGTGATCTTGGGGACCAAAAGACCCCACAGCTATGAGGTTGTTCCCCCTCCCCAACAGCCCTTCGACTCCCCGTTGTAAACGATTTTCGGATCGAATTTAGAAAGTTTTTTAATTTCCATAATAATTCACTTCTAAATTTCTAAATATTTATATAGCTAATTTCTAATCATTAACATTGGTGCAGAAGTGATTTCTTTTTCTAAAAACGAGTCAACCAGACGTTATTCTCTATTTTACATCTCTAGCGTTTTTTTACCCTGAGTTATCTGACTCCCTAAATATCGAAAATCAGCGGCTTCCAGTTTTTCGTCTCCTATTCTAACTCTACTTTTACGGTCTCTCACGAACCAATATATTTTATTTCAAGTTAATCTCTAACTCCCCCTTGCTAGATGCAGTCTTTTGGCCCTACATTCGAACTGGACAAATTATCCGATTAATTGATTAAAAATCCTACCCTCTGTGTGTGTCTATCCCTAAAGCTACCCTGTCTTCTTCGTAATACAAATAAAACAGTAGCGGCGGTAATCTACATCATGCTGTGTCTCCTTCCGCAATATTTACTTCTCTATCTCTACGATTTTGCTCAAATTCTAAACCACCTGTTGCTCCCCTACTCCTCCTATATTTTTAGGAGTTTTTAAGCATCTTTTCCCGTTTAACGTACCACATGTCTTTGTTTAACTGTGTCTCACACGAAATCTTACAAACATATTAGAAACAGAAGTGCAAGTACTTACATGACCATAGCAGAGTTTTTCATTATTCGACCACATGGTCCAAATTGTTGAACAGGCGACGGCGCATTCAACGACCTCGTTCTTCTGCAATAAAGAGGAAAAATTCAGAAACCTTTTATTTAGGATCTTTTTTAATTGAAAAATCAGTAAAATCAAGTGTATATAAAAATATATAATAAACAGAAGTCTCTGACTACATTTTTTGTGTTACGCATTACCTAACTTGTGGGGAATCTTTAAAAAATTCGGACAAAATGGATTTGTCACATTCGCCAAGATTACGTGCCATACCAGATACGTCATTGAAAAATTAATATCAAAATCACAAACGGAATAATTTGTACTAATACCATTTCTTTGCCTTTAATTTCAATATGAAAAAATCAGAGCGGATAGGGTAATAAAGTGTTTTTCTCGAAGTAGGTGTTTTATGCCCCTTCTGGAGCGAAATGTTGGTGCGATATTGCAATTAATAAAAAACTTATTAACCTATAGGCTCTGCCAGCGGCTCCACCCACTATTGTTTCATTAATTTGTGTTACAATATTATTTTAACGGAATAGTATGCAACTTATCCCCACCCTAAAAGTCTATTCTAAATAATAGTGAAAGAATTTTTGAAATCGGATGTGTAATTTCGGAATATGAAGATTGGAAAAACTTTGGCGGTTGTTGTAGAACAAACAGAATAGCTCAAAACCCCAACGCCAAAACACGACACTGTAGTTGTCCGAAGCACTTTTCGGTAACAAAGTTACCTTCTTCAGGGACTGAAGTAAACTAAACCTAAATGAGAACTAATCCTAATTTATACTGATAGTTGTTAAGGTTCAGTGAACATGACCCGAAGCCAACAAGGTAGATGTTCAATGGACCTTAACATCATCATCATAAACGTAATTAAACTAAACTAAATAGCGGAGATCCAGGGAT